ACAAGATTTTATTTCTTATTTTCACGTGCAGGGGACTCGAACAGACCCCGAAAAATCAGTGGGAAAAGTAGAATTGTGGCCCTCTCACCCACCCAGGGGCGGTGAGCATGTTCAGGGACAAGACACAGGCGCCCCCTGAGACCGACATTCGACACCTGCCATGTGTGGAGGGCTCTGAATATTAGCGTCACAACTGATAGCCTTTCTAATCCGGAGGGAATATTGCATCTGGTGGAGGGCTGTGGAGGGGGGGAAGAGGGAGCTGGGGAAGGGGGGGGGGCTGGAGAGGTCCTGGTATGTGGGGGGAAGGGGGGGGGATCTTGGGGCCTCCAGGGCACTATCACCTTACATACTTCCTCCTTGTCTAAGTAACTTTTTTTATATATAAGCAAGGTGGGGTATGGGAAGCAACTTGGTTAACATGTGTGCAAGCATTAACGTATTGCCTATTTTCTTGGCTATTTCAATACAGCTGCATTTTATTAAGAGTTTTTGTTTACAATTGTGTGTACTTAGGGGAGCCGGTCGGCCGAGCGGTCAGCACACTGGACTTGTAATCCTGTGGTCCTGGGTTCGATCCCAAGCATCGGCGAGAAAACAATGGGCAGAGTTTCTTTCACCCTATGCCCCTGTTACCTAGCAGTAAAATAGGTACCTGGGTGTTAGTCAGCTGTCACAGGCTGCTTCCTGGGGGTAGAGGCCTGGTCGAGGACCGGGCCGCGGGGACACTAAAGCCCCGAAATCATCACAAGATAACCTCAAGATCTCAAGATAACTTACCGAGAGGTGCTTGCAGGGTCGAGCGTCAGCTCTTGAGCCCTATCTTTTGAACGGTAGTAGCTAAATGCATTGATCTTAATCCCTCCTTTTTTTCCTTGCACTGACACCTAAAATTGTGTATTACAAGAAGCTGCTAAACGCCACCGCCCCTGTTGCCCCAAGAAGCTCCTGAACGCTGAAGAACCTCCTGTTGACATCGCGACTCACTTGACGTTCCAGTTGAAGTCTAAACGAGACATCAGAAGCTGGAAAAACGACGCCGTTCCAGTCCGTCCTAAAGCATTATCAACTAGCGTGATAATAGTTCCAATTCCCCCCAAAAAACAAAAGAAATGCAGTTCAATATTCAGCGTGTAGGAGTCACTACACTAGGCCAAATCAGTATTCCTTTCCCCCCGTGACTCGCGGATCACTACATAACAACACAATGACTACAATGGTGTTATGATGAAGCACAAGACGCCACAGTGTCATCAGCCGTGTCTGGAAGAAAGCAGAGTATCTCAAACACCTTCTGGAAAGAAATTGTAGTGCAAGAAGGAAGTTAACAACTATATTATTGTGGCTAGATATTTGTTTCGTATCGTATGTGTGTAGCCCGTTCGTACACGCATTGTACACCCTGCCCCTACCCGCAGAGGGGGCACACCCCGCCCCTAAATACACAAGGGGGCACACCCCGCCCCTAAATACACAAGGGGGCACACCCCGCCCCTAAATACACAGGGGGGCACACCCCCGCCCCTAAATACACAGGGGGGGGGGGCACACCCCGCCCCTACACTAATGACGTCAGCTATAGCCCATGTTGACGAAACAACATACCTACACCACATACACCAGGTAGACGCGGTCGTTCATCCTGCGGGAATAACATTACCTTGATGAGTATTCCCATCAAGGGGTTATTCTCACCGATAACACACAACTATCCGTCCTGGAATAAGAATTCAGGTGAAATTCTCCAGTCGGTTCCTGACGCCTAATAAAAGAGTTTTCAGACACTAACGGGGAACATTTAAATGTATATTCGCATTTGGATATCTAAACTAGCAACATAAACAGTGTGGCAAGTGTACAGATAAACATTTGTGCAACTGGGCAGTTTTCAATATTGTGTACATTGGTCCTGGGGACAGGAAAATAGTGTTTTTTTCATCATTCCGTTATTTTTGAAAGTGAGCGCAGGTCCCTCAGTCTCTATTTCCCGTTTTCTGTAATACTGTATGATGGCAGAATGAATGGCAACCGCCCTCTGCTGCCTCCACCCCTTGTTGTTTTAGATTCAGTTACTCTGAAGTAGTAGTTGCAAGTAGCACGGGCTATGGTGAGCCCGTAGTGGACTTACCTGGCACAGGAGCGGGACAGGAACTGTCTGGAACCCCGGCTGGCACCTCACTACTCAAGAGGGGAGGGAGGAGGGAGCAAGGAGGAAAGGAGGGAGGAAGAGAAGGGGAGGGGGGGAGAGGAGGGAAAGGGGGGGGGCAAGGAGGAGAGAAATAAACGAAATAAGAAAGAACAGAGATCAAATGTAAAAAATATACTTAAAAACCACGTTAATTTTGAGCTTACAATTAATTTTGAAAGCCTACCCTATAACCTTTAACAGGCCCATTACAATACTAATTTAAGACGAAGATGGCGTTTATTAGGCCTGAGCTTGTTTTATTTAGCCTAAGACAGCTTTGGTAAAATTGGTACAGTGCGCGCTGTGCCCTTTAGTAAAGCAATGGTACAAAAACACTTTTGTTTGGATGCAGCAGTTGGAATTCTGGATTGTTGGAGGACGGGTTAAAAGGAGCTGAGAGGGAGAGGAGAATGACGAGTAAGGGAGAGGGGTGGAGAGGTGGCTTCAAAGACAAAGAAGAAGGAAGAAAGAACGGGAATGGGAGATAGAAAGGAGTAGAAAATGAGATAATGTGAAGAGAACCATTATCTTTAGTCCCCCCATCCCTCTCCACTTTCTATCACACCTCGCACGACCCGAAAGTTTTTCTTCGGGGTTCACAATCCAGTTCCTGCTGCTACCGCTTCTCAATTGTTATTTTTTTCCTCCCTTTAATGATCCGTATCGTTGTCTTCCTTGTGCGAGCCCAGTCACGCCACTTTGTGATTACGGCAAAATGTCACGTGAGCGTTAACTAAGGGCAACCTGCAGCAGCCAAAACACTGGGTGTTTACGCTCACTGCGCGGGAAAATGACTGGTGTTGGCGCCAAAATGGTCGGGTTCCACGCCTCCTGGGGCGTGAATGCTACCTCTGCTCCCGCTGCAAAAATATGTGAACTATTATTTCAAGACGCAAATTGCAACATGATTTGTGAAACTGCGGGATTGTGGTCTGGAATTGAACACCTTGAGGACGAAACCCCGTCTCGTGACACAGAGGGAGGAGGGGGGGGGGGGGGGGGGGGGGGGGGGGGGGGGAAGGTGAGACATATGAACAAATCCACAAGGGCCGTGACGAGGATTCGAACCTGCATCCGAGAGCATCCCAGACGCTGCCTTAATCGACTGAGCTACGACATGGTCAAAACATCTCCAAAAAAGGTATGTCCCCAAAAGATATGTAACATGGGTGATACATATCTTTTGAGGACACTGGTAAGGGGGGTGGGGGGGGGGGGTGTCTTGTTGAAACACCGAATTGGGGGGCGACGCCAAAATCTCATCTCGTAGGTACTCATACTGTTTAAATCACTGGCGTTATTTCAGAGATTGCTGAAATAAGAGGGAATACAGAGAACGTGACACGTATAGACTTCACAAAATGTTTACCTGCTTAGCTAAATGAACTGTGAGGGGTTCAATTACTTGAACCCATTATGTGCCTATGCCACCCTTTCAACCACCGCCCATGGCATGGGTATGGGGTGCATAATAAATGACCAACAGACACGTTGAAGTACTTAAATTATTGGAACCATCTCAAAGCTCTCAAAACGTTCTCTCCAGAAAGGAAAGGAAAGAGGATAGAATGGAAAATCCAAAAGAGAATTGGACAAGTTGCTAATGGGAAATGCAGCAACAGTCCAGGAGTAATGTCATTTCCATATCTATAACCCATATATCTATATCTATAACCCATATATCTATATCTATAACCCATATATCTATAACCCATGTATCTATAACCCATATATCTATATCTATAACCCATATATCTATAACCCATATAACTATAACCCATATATCTATAACCCATATATCTATAACCCATATATCTATAACCCATATATCTATAACCTCTCATAAATATGCGGGCCTGCGGGCTGCTACAAGTAATAACATTACTGATCAATTTTCATCTGACAAGCCTGGCTCTCAGCCAAGCTTGGAGATGATGACGATCTCTGGAAACCCACTACAGCCAAATTACCACAACCACCATCTCCACAACCAACCACCACAAAACGTTTATCAAAAGTTGGTAGAAAAAATGGTATACAAACAAACAAAATTGTTTTGAAACAATCCTGCCGATCGTGAGCAAAATCTCCTCGGAATTCGTTTCGCCATTCAGCTCAGGGTTCGAGACCCGCAGGTCAGCCCCAGTCACACACACACACACACACACACACACACACACACACACACACACACACACACGCACACACCTACCTGGTAGCCTGGTGGATAGCGCGCAGGACTCGTAATTCTGTGGCGCGGGTTCGATTCCCGCACCAGGCAGAAACAAATGGGCAAAGTTTCTTTCACCCTGAATGCCCCGGTTACCTAGCAGTAAATAGGTACCTGGGAGTTAGTCAGCTGTCACGGGCTGCTTCCTGGGGTGTGTGTGTGGTGTGAAAAAAAAATTAGTTAGATACAGTTGATTGATAGTTGAGAGGCGGGCCGAAAGAGCAAAGCTCAACCCCCGCAAACACAACAAGGTGAACACACACACACACACACACACACACACACACACACACACACACACACACACACACACACACACACACACACACACACACACACACGTGTAGATATGATAGAGCCCAGCAGGCTCAGGAATCTGTACACCTGTTGATTGACGGTTGAGAGGCGGGACCAAAGAGCCAGAGTTCAACCCCCGCAAACACATCTAGGTGAGTACACACACACACACACACACACACACACACACACACACACACACACACACACACACACACACACACACACACACACACACACACATACACACACACACACACACACACCAGGTACTGGGAGACTCACCTCGATGTCGATCTCCTGCTCCAGGAACTGGGAGAGGGACTGGGGCAGGTCCCCGGGGAAGATGTAGTCTCCGTCTGGGGAGTCAGAGTCGCTGCCCCCGCCCACGCCGCCCACCCACTCCGTCGCCGCCACCGCCGCCCACTCGCTCGCCACGCCCATCAGCGATATCTGCACCAGGAGAGACCACAAAAAAATAAATATTACGATATTTTATTTAATATATCGCATATTTAACCATTTGGCCGATTACGTTAAAATGGAATATATTAACTTCGTTTAAACACAACATGCACCATAACTCCTCAACAGGAAGAGTCAACCTGGAAGGAATAGAGCTTAGCAAACCAAAAGGATCACAGGAATTTATTCTATAGGCTGGAACACACTTAGTCTGTCCTCTATCCTTGAATCAGATGAGCTTGTACACAAGCCATACTCAACTGCACTCCCGTTAACCTGAGACAGATGCTTACGTAAATTTTTAAGACAATGAGACACATCTACTAAGAGATAGGCACTGAGACTGACATACATTCATAGGTAAGATCCAGGTAAAGGAAATAGAACATACACATACGACACAGGTGGAAGCTAAGTACCCACATGAGATACAGGGACGTTAGAAAGAACTTTTTCAGTGTCAGAGTAGTTAACAGATGGAATGCATTAGGCAGTGATGTGGTGGAGGCTGATTTCATACACAGTTTCAAATGTAGATATGATAGAGGCCAGTAGAGTCCAACCGGGCTGTGGTGGGTATGTGGGCCTGCGGGCCGCTCCAAGCAACAGCCTGGCGGACCAAACTCTCACAAGTCAAGCCTGGCCTCAGGCCGGGCTTAGGGAGTAGAACTCCCAGAACCCCATCAAGCAGGTATATGTGGGCCTGCTGCGGGCCGCTCCAAGCAACAGCCTGGTGGACCAAACTCTCACAAGTCAAGCCTGGCCTCGGGCCGGGCTTGGGGAGTAGAAGAACTCCCAGAACCCCATCAACCAGGTATATGTGGGCCTGCTGCGGGCCGCTCCAAGCAACAGCTTGGTGGACCAAACTCTCACAAGTCAAGCCTGGCCTCAGGCCGGGCTTGGGGAGTAGAAGAACTCCCAGAACCCCATCAACCAGGTATCAACCAAGTAGGTTCAGGAATCTGTACACCAGTTGATTGATGGTTGAGAGGCGGGATCAAAGAGCCAGAGCTCTACCCTTGCAAGCACAACTAGGTGAGTACACTTGGATAAAGACGACAAAACATACTCTCGGATAAATTCAACGAAACATACATACGCTAAGATGAAGTCAACAAAACATACATACGCTGAGATGAAGTCAACGAAACAATCATACGCTCAGACAAAGAAAACGAAACAATCATACGCTCAGATAAAGACAACGAAACAATCATACACTCAGATAAAGACAACGAAACAAGCATACACTCAGATAAAGACAACGAAACAATCATACGCTCAGATAAAGACAACGAAACAAACACACTCGGAGACATACATAGTATTAATAAGGGTTGAACTAACCTCTGTCTGTGTGCCAGTGGTGACGCTGGAGCCGCTTCCCGCCCGCTCCTCCTCCTGTTCCTTCCCACCCTTTTCCTTCTCCCGCTTCCCTTCCTCCTCCTCCTGCTGCGTGGAGGAGTCGCTGGCGGAGGTGGCGGGTGTGGGCGTGGTAGAGGTGGGCGCGTGTGTGGGCGTGGAGGGCGTCGAGGAGGACTGCTGGTGGGTGGTGGTGTTGTTATTGTGTGGTGGGCGACGGAGCACTTGCACCATGATGGGTTCCTCGGCCTCTTGGAACACCCTTACCGCCTCCACGTGGGTCAGGCCGCTCACATCACACCCGTTCACCTGTTGTGGGTCAACACATACCTCTCATTAGTACACATGTAGCTTTATGTACTATAATATGTACTACATCCCCCTCCTCCCGGACATCTCCCGTCCACGAGGCTAACCATAGTCCGTGCTACTTGCCCCGCTCCTGTGCCAGGTAAGTTACGGGCTCACCGTGCCCGTGCTACTTGGAACTTGTTCCGAGTAGCTGAATCTATAACAACAACAACCCTCCTCCCCCTTCCCGTCATCTAGAAACCTTAAGACATCGGTCTTAACCCTTTGGGTGCGGCTGGCGCGTTACTTGTGATTCATTATCTCATCCCTTTGTGTGTGTTTATACCTCAATAAACTGACTTGAATTTGTGATTCAACAAAACACACGTATTATAATCTGGTAGTTGAAGTAAGAGGCCAAATATGTATCCAAAAGCGAGTCACAATGTAACAAATGAGTCACAGGTTATCTTGAGGTTATCTTGAGATGATTTCGGGGCTTTTTAGTGTCCCCGCGGCCCGGTCCTCGACCAGGCCTCCACCCCCAGGAAGCAGCCCGTGACAGCTGACTAACACCCAGGTACCTATTTTACTGCTAAGTAACAGGGGCATAGGTAGAAAGAAACTCTGCCCATTGTTTCTCGCCGGCGCCCGAAATCGAACCCGGGACCACAGTGTAACACGGAGTAACAAATGATTTGTTCATGTGATGCATCAGGCTATTGTGATTTCTGTGTGTAGTGTAAAGAGCCACACACAGTGTGTTCCAAACAGCAACTGCATGTATCTGCCCGGCCACGGTATTACAAAGTAATCCCTCTATTGTACTTTCGTATTCCGTGGGAATAAATAAATATAGGTACATACCAGAACGTTGCTATTGTACGGTTATAAAACATTATTTTATGTACGTTGGGGGCCTGACGGCTGAGTGGACAGCGTTCGGGATTCGTTGTCCTGAGGTTCCGGGTTCGATCCCCGGCGGAGGCGGAAACAAATTGGCAGAGTTTCTTTCACCCAGATGGCCCTGTTCACCTAGCAGTAAATAAGTACCTGAGCGTTAGATAGCTGCTACGGGGCTGCTTCCTGGGGGATGTGTAACAAAAAGGAGGCCTGGTCGAGGACCGGGCCGCGAGGACGCTAAGCCCCGAAATCATCTCAAGATAACCTCAAGATAACGTATTAAAATTATTTATAAATAATTTTATAAATAATCCAATAATTTATTCAAAATATTTACAATTATAATTTCTCAATATTTTATGGAGACATAATGGCTTTATGTCTTGCCTCGATAATTACAAATATCTTGAGATTTAGTTTAATAAATGCCAAAATAAAAAAAGTTGTATTCCTGCCGTTGATAATTTCTATCACTTGTATACCTGGAAAGTACCTGGAGTGGGTTTCCAGAGTTCTTCTACTCCCCGAGCCCGGCCTGAGGCCAGGCTTGACCTGTTAGTATGTATCAACTAAGTATGTATGTATGTATGTATATATATGTATGTATGTATAGTTAATATCAACTCTTCCGTCGATAGCATCCATCGCTAGTACACATGTGAGTCTGTCATTGATATCGTTATATCACTACACACTTATCACCAGCGATAACAGTTTTGGTAATGAGGTTTAGAGGCTAGGTATTGTCCAAACCTGTTAGGCAGCAGGACTTCCTGTTGGAGATTTCGAGGACCAATGTCCCTCGCGGCCCTGTCTCTGACCAGGCCCTTCTGTGGCTGGTCAGGTGATATCATTAACCCACAAGCTGGCAACACTGACCACGGTGACCTTGGGAAAGGTAATCAGAATTTTTTTTACTAAAACACTTACCGTTATCTTGAGATGATTTCGGGGCTTTAGTGTCCCCGCGGCCCGGTCCTCGACCAGGCCTCCACCCCCAGGAAACAGCCCGAGACAGCTGACTAACACCCAGGTACCTATTTTACTGCTAGGTAACAGGGGCATAGGGTGGTTATCTTGAGATGATTTCGGGGCTTTAGTGTCCCCGCGGCCCGGTCCTCGACCAGGCCTCCACCCCCAGGAAGCAGCCCGTGACAGCTGACTAACACCCAGGTACCTATTTTACTGCTAGCTAACAGGGGCATAGGGTGAAAGAAACTCTGCCCATTGTATCTCCCCGGCGCCTATGATCGAACCCGGGACCACAGGATCACAAGTCCAGCGTGCTGTCCGCTCGGCCGACCGGCTCCCTTTACCGGGTCTTGCAGAATTCTTCCACATGAGGAATGTCCCATCAACTATTACAACTATTACGCCTGTATCATGAACCCCTGAACCCCCTGGATTACCAGGGGGTCAACCATATAAAATCGAGTCCAAGCGCAGTTAAGAGCTCCGTACCTCAGGGTACAGTCCTTGCACCACTGTTTTTCCTTATTCTCATATCAGATATAGACTCAAATACATGTCCCAGCTTCGTGTCATCCTTTGCAGATGACACAAAAATCAGCATGAAAATTACTCTGTCGAAGACATTGAAAACTACAAGCAGATATTTATAAAGTTTTCGATTGGGCAGCAGACAATAACATGATGTTTAACAGCGATAAATTCCAGGTACTCAGGTACGGCAAAAATGAGGACCTTAAACATAATACGGGGTACAAAACACAATAAAATTTGCCCACAGTAAGAAAACAGCATGTCAAGGATTTGGGAATAATGATGTCCGACGACCTAACGTTTAGGGAACATAACCAAGCAAATATTGCGTCAGCCAGAAAAATGATAGGATGGATTACGAGAACTTTCAAATCAGGGGATCCCATCACAATGGTTGTACTCTTCAAGTCACTTCTGTTGTCCCGTCTTGAGTACTGCTCAGTACTCACTTCTTCCCTTCAGAGCAGAAAAGATAGTTGAAATAGAGGGAATACAGAGAACATATACGGCACACATAGACGTGATAAAGCACCTAAATTATTGGGATCGTCTCAAAGCTCACGAAATGTACTCACTAGAAAGGAGACGAGAGAGATATCAAATAATATACACATGGAAAATACTGGAGGGCCAGGTCCCAAATCTACACAGTAAAATAACAACGTACTGGAGTGAACGATATGGAAGAAAATGCAGAATAGAACCAACAGGAGAACGTGGTCCACATAGGACATAGAAACACTTAGTTTGTCTTTTATCCTTTGGTTAGAAGAGCAGCACCACTGAAGCCCTTCAGGCTGTTGAATCCTGCACTCTCCGCCATCATTGAGAGACAGTGTTCTAGGTGTTGACCAGACCACACACTAGAAGGTGAAGGGACGACGACGTTTCGGTCCGTCCTGGACCAATCTCAAGTCGATTGTCTGAGATGGTCTGGTCAACATACCTCAGCCACGTTATTGTAACTCATCGTATGCAGTGTTCTAAGTGGTTTATTATATATTGATCAGGAGGTAGTAACAATAAATGCACCTATACATTTTATGGTAAAGCAATAATTTAATTAGAACCCAAATCGGAAAAGCCGTTCAGGCGCTAGGGCGATAACCCAACGTCGTCTGACAGTTTTTCAATTTTTATCCCTTATTTTCATTTATATATTTTTTGTACTTGGAAAGGGTGATGTGTGTGTGTGTGCGCGTCTGGAGAGATCTCGCGAGCTCTCACTGATCAAAGCCACCTCCGGAGTTGTGCCGGGCTCAATCAAGCTCTCTGAAGAATAAATACTCTCGATATGAAAGAGCGGGGCTTGAACTCTCGGCCAATAATTGCCTCGAAACCCCTGGCAAACTCTGCACACTCCAGATGGCGCCATCAAAGAACCCCGAGACCATTTCCCCCGAGCACAAGTCATTCTGGCTCTGCTTGGTGCGACGAGAGGTTGGGAGGTTGGACAGAAGTCACAAAAGGAGTCCAAAATTCAACATATTGTGCGATGGCAGGGAGATCCATTGATTGATTGATAAAGATTAAGCCACCCAAAAGGTGGCACGGGCATGAATAACCCGTAAGTGGTGGTGGTCTTTTTGAGCCATTACCAGTATCAGGAGCTGATACTGGAGATCTGTGGAGGTGCGACTGCACCCTGCGTGACGGGAGATGTCTCCCGTGATAGGGAGATCGACGGTCACTGGTATAAATTAGGAGCTGAGGTGGAATGGGGACAAGTTTCAGCCCCGCTCCTGTGCCAGGTAAGTCCATCACGGGCTCACCATAGCCCGTGCTACTTGGAACTTTTAGTTCCCAGTGGCTGAATCTTAAACAAGAAATGGAATGGGAAGGAGGGAGCGTAAGATTAAGGAGGCTGAGGTGGGCGTTGATGGGATGGAAGAGGGTGGGATGGAGTAGGAAGGCGGGACGACTGAGGAAGGGTTGCATGGAGGGTAGTAAGGAGGAGTTAGACAAATGATAAAGATCAGAGGAGGAAAGTAAAGAGGGAATACCTTTCGTTCACCTTTTGAGGATTCCTAGGATCAACGTACCAGCGTCCCGGTCTCTCAACAAGGCTGTTCGAAGCCTGACATACAACTCACAGCCTGGTTGATCAGGTGTCATTTGAAGAAGTTTATCAAATTATCTTTGAACATTGTCAGAGGTCAGCCAGTTATGCCCCTAATATGTAGAGGGTTAGTGTTAAAAATGTCCCAGGCCTTGAATGATGATGGCTCTCTCGACATACCTATTGCACCTCTGCTTTTCAACCGGGCAATTTTGCACATCCTGCCATGTCTCATGTATACCTGGAGAGCGTTCTGGGAGTTCTTCTACTCCCCAAGACCCGCCCCGAGGCCAGGCTCGACTTGTGATAACTTGGTCCACCAGGCTGTTGCTTGGAGCGGCCCGCAGATTCTCATATCGAAATCTGCTTGATTAGTCCGGCACCTAACCTAACCCATCCACTTGGACGGTCGGGGATTGAACACTGATCTACATGAAGCGAGACCGTCGCTCTACCGTCCAGCCCAAGTGGTTAGGTAAATTGGGTATACCAGTATACCCAATTGGGTATACCAGTATACCACACACACACACACACACACCAGCCACACCCACA